ATGACATTGATGAATAAAAAAGCTTACATTATGAGTCTATGAAGACATCAATATGTTTTTTTTATTAGCACGATATCAACATGTTGAAGAGATATTTTAGAAATATGCATAATAGTCATTTAAATAGTTTAATTATAATTTTTTAATAAAAATAAAAAAAATCTTAAATGTGAATCATATAATATACTAATGGAATTAGTCAAGAGTTATAATACAGTTAACTTTTATTGTGTAATTCAAAATAAAAAAAAAAATAATTTATGATAATATTCTAGTAATTCAAGGAGGGAAAATAGCATATTTATTAGGTGTGTATGTATGTGTATGTATATGTATATATATACAAAAATGTGTTTTATAAGTCATCTAAAAATTATAATAAATCTCATTTATACATAACGTTTACACATTATATTTATATAAAATTTTGATAATTTATTTTTGTATTTTTAACAGTTAAATTTTATTTATTTATTTATTATATTTATTAAAGATAATTATTTTTTAATCAATAAATTAAAATAAATTTTAATAATAAAAAAATAAATAATCAAAATTTTATATAAATTTAATATATAAAAATTATATATAAATGAGTTTTTATTATATATTTCTTTTGGAACTGTTAGTATTAAGTCAAAATGTATTTCTTTCCTTATTTATTTCCTATAAAAGAAATAATCGAATATTCCCCCTGAGTGAGGGTTGCAAATGAAAACTGTCGATGCAATTTTTGAGGCATGATAGTTGTAAAAAGGTAAAACATGGGATTTGATGTCATGATTGGTGCCACTTTTACATCAATTGACAATGGTTAGTTTTTGACAATATAACAGGTTAAGGTATTTTTTTCTACTAAATTTATTAATATAATTTATTTAATTGTAATTTTATAATTTATAAAATTTTTAAATAATTAATTATTATATTTAAAAATATTTATTTTAAAAATTAATTTTAATTTATTAAATAATAAATATTAATTATTTTATTAATTATTAATTTTTTAAGTATCAAATTAAAATAAAAATTGAACAACTTTTAGTAACATTAATAAATTTAATGATGATTATAATTTTTCCCTATCATAAGTTAACACTTTCTAAGACTCACCAACGACATATTACTCTAACTGAAAAGAGTTCGGTTTCTTTCAAATAAAATTTTAAATTCGAGTCTTATCATTGGAAAAAACAGATGCTGAAAGAACTTACTCTTAATAAAGTTCAACGAGATTTAATTTTAAATTAGTTAAAATTTAATGTGATTATTGAATATCGAAAATTTAATACAAAAAACACCATACTCAAACGGTAGGAATTTTTTCTTTGCAATTGTGAGTTGTGATTGTAACTCGATTAGTAGATGTACATATGTTCCTCCAAATTAAAGCACAAGGGTTCAAAACTCCTTTTTCTTTCTGTGAGCTCTTCCTCTTGCTTGTGGAAGGCCTATCGCCTTCTTCACTAGTTTTGAATGAGTAAAGTAGTCTACCATTTTTGACAAAGTACTCCACTGGAACATCTTGAAATGTGTCGGGAAAATAGAAAGAGGTGGCTCTTCCATTTGCGCTGGGATTTTGACTTTGACCTCGACTCCTCCGCACTCTTACGAAGATTTTAGATATATCGACTGACACAATTTCTAGTTTTGGTGGAGCTTTTCATAGTTAGTAACCCATGATTCAAGAAGCTTGAATAATTTTCAGCAGTTTGTTGTAATTTTGGTATTTTAATAAAATATATATATTATTTTTTATGAATTAAATTTATTGTTCTTTTTAAGGGTTTTGTTAAATTAGTTAATGTAGGTTAATTATTCTATTTAAGGACATATTATTTCTCAATAATTATTTAATTTATTTCTATAATTAACCCATAACTAGAAGTTACATGACCTTAAATCTTATAGATAAACTATGTAATTACCTTATATAAGGTATGTTCCTTTATGTTCTCATACTTTATTACATTATTTTATTTTCTAAATTGATATTTTTGGGTAAGGACTGGATTCTTGACTTAGATTACTTTATAAGTAATGTAAATTTATAAAGTGTTATTGTAAAGTTATAGTATTTTAGGCAATATACTATATATAAACTTTTGCACCAATAAATCTACTCTTTGTAAAGCCATAAATTACCTTACAATAAATAAACTTTTACACTTATTTTGATAATATTTTATTTTATTATTAATATTTTTTAATAAGTTCACTACTTATAATTATTTTTATTAATTTTGTGATTGATATACAATAATAACATAATACGAGAATGAAAAAATATGTTTGAGGAACAACATATTAGGTCTAGAAATTCGTCTTGGAACATGAATGTAATTGGGTGTGTTTTGTGAATACATAAAACTCATCAGGGGTTACTTTGAAGTGGTTAAGGCTAGTTTGGTCGGATAGAATAGGTTCAAAGCACACATCAAAAAAAAAAAAAAAAAAAAAAAAAAGGAAGTTCAAAGCATAATTTTAAGGTAAATTAGTTAGAAAATGTAGGAGATTGGGAATGCCAAGGATGGGACTTAAACAACACACTAGGGTGGTCAATTTGTTTTTTAATGGTGTAACTTATTAAAAAACCAAGTTCTTGAGATACCATTTAATAAAAAGTAAAAACCACTCGAAATGTATAAAGATTTCGAAAAATTCTGGCCCCTTAACCTCGTCCATCCCCATCAATATAATCATCATTGGGAAATACATATTCCTTCCATTTAATAATTTATATTAACAAGTAATAATTTAATAATTTATATTAATAAGTAATAATTAACAAGGTATAGCTAACACTTACTAAAAAGGTGTTACAGTATTGGATATATATTTTCATTTTATTTTACATTGCTAAAAAATTGTTTAAGAAAATTTTTTTTATAGATATAATTACATAAAAATACGAAAAAAATATATATCATTTTATGAATATTGAAAAAGTAGAGTTTTAATATTAAATTATATCATTTTATTTAATTAAAATTTATTTTATTATATATTAATATTTAAACTTAAAAACTGATTAAAATTTTAAATTTTGAATTAAAATTTTAATTTAAAACTTTAATTTTTTTCAAGAATCAAAATTAATATGTATTAATTTTTTTGAACATTAGAGTGTGACTTGAACCTCATATCTTCAATTTATATAAAAAGTTTTTAATAAAAGGATAGTAATTAGTAAATCAATAAAACATTCTCAATATGTATTATTATTATTATTTTTTAAATGTTAAGGGTGAAATTTAAATTTCATATTTATCAAATTTTACATAAAAAGTTATTTATAATGAAGTGTAATTACTAAACTATAAGAACATTTTTCAATATGTACTAATTTTTTTAAATTATATAATTTTAATTATTAAAATAAGAGAGATAAGGGAACTCATATACGGAGATCATGAAACAGTATTCCATGAAACAGTATTCCATCAACGAAACTCGCCCGGAAAGAGCAAGAATACAATAGTGTCGAACAACCTCAAAAGCCGCTTACGGCGTGGCAAGAG